GATCAATGGAAAATTTAAGCATTAAATTTCACTATGACAATATGGTATAGTATTAATAATTAATAATTAACTATAAATATAGATTTTAGATGGTAAGTAAAAATTAGAGGACATATTTATTTAGAGAAGAGTTGGGTCTGAAGTTCGTAATTATCATTATACCGCATTAGACCCAAAAGTAGAAGGCCCTTTTACACTTGGTTTAGTGTTACCTGCCTCTTATGGTAACAATTGGATTAAAGCAGGCGATGAAATTAATAAATCAATAGAAAAAAGTAAGTATAATGTTTGAAAAATATACTTATATCGTTAGAAAGATCAAAGAATTTATAAGTATTTTATGTTTTAGATGAACTATTTGATAAATATTTTCAAGATAAATGGAAAATTCATCCAAACTGGTATATGAATTTAATACTTTATGTTGTTTTCAATTTTATTTAAATATTTATACAATTCAATTGAGTTAAAATTTCAGGGTGTATTGTGATTATTTTCATTCATCAGAGCGAAAATTTGAAAATCCTGAAGAAAAGCTGCTTCATTTTATGAAAAAAATATTTTCTCCAAATTGGGAATGGAGAGAACAATATCCAGATTCAAATTTTGAAAATATTTCAATGGATGATTTCAATAGATGTAAGGGCAACTATATTTTAAAACATAATAGCTCTAGTTGATTTAATTTTATTGAATGGTAAATAGGGGAGTGTAACAGGAAACCAATTGACATGGATGAGTTCTACTGTAAGTTAATCTAAAATTAACTCAGAATTTAATTAATTTTTCTGATTTTGATTTAAATTTCACTATTTCAGGTGATAAGGAATTAATGCAACTTTTATTTTTTGATGCAAAAATAACACATGCATTATACAATTCAACTTGGAACCCTACTACAGAATATGAGTAAGTTGTAAAAATATGTATTGTTTTAGTATTCTTAATTAATAATTCAATAATCTTAAATTAATAATTTTGAACCGCAGAAAACGTTATGTAAACCAATACAATGTTAGTGTCAGATTTTTGGCCACCCAAGGAGGGTTGAGTAGATGGCAACATATGCTTGATCTGGCTGAAGGTGAATTGTATGTACAATATACAGGATAAACATTATTGTTATTTACATTTGTAAAAAAAAAAAAAAATATAGTCCATTTGTATTTATATTTAGAGAGTTTGGAGATGTTCATAACCGATCTGTTGAGGAAGTTTGGTATAAACGACCAGTACTATATCGTAATCTTAATCCACAAGCATTTGTATTTTCAGTGCCTTTTGATTCTGGTATTCATTTTTGTATGGGTATTTTGATAAAATTAATATTTCAACTWCTGAATTTATGAGTTAGGCTACAATGATAAATTAAAAATCACTGCCAGTCATGCAATATTTGTTGAGGATGAAAATAATGAAGCACCAGGATCAGTAGTTGGATATGAAATGTCACATAAGAAGTTTTATGATCGCTTTATGGAAATCACRCAAACCAATGAAAATGTTATTCATTTATATTTATTTATCTTTAATTGAATTGTTTTTATTAACTTTTCGTTATTTTTAGTGTCCAAGTTGTTTACCATGCAAATCTGATCACGTTGATTGTTATATAATTGATGAAAATGGATATGTCGTACTATCTGAAATTCCAGCAGATACTGGCAGATTTTTTGCCCAAACCGAATTAAAGAGTACTGGAGTTATTATGGAAACAATGATATCAAAAAAAATATTTAGGCGTATACCTATGTTTGACTACCAAGCTTTGTGTAAAGAAAGGATACCAGCMTCAAGTGCATCATCCTTCTTGTTAACAGTAATTTAAATTAAATTATTAATTAGTTATATAAAGTTATTAATAAAATTTTTTTTAACAAACAAACATATGTTAAAAATTATTTCTAGAAATATATTCAAAATGTAAATAATTTAAATTTTAARACTACTATTAAAATAAATATTTAATTTTCTTAGTCATTTTAGCTATTTGGCTGCAATCTATCCATTGTTTAAGGGTTATGAAATGTATAAATATTATCAACATAGTATGTTATTATGAATATAGCTTAAAGCCTAGAAGATAATGTCTTCATAGTTCTCGTCCTGTTACAAATATCATTCATTGATAAACTTAAGCATCAAATTGAATTTAATACTTATAATTAATAAATWATTTAAAGATTTAATAATAAATTGATATTTAAATAATTTTAATATTATTTGTACAGCCATTTTATGTAGTGTATGCGAGTCTAAAAATGTTCTTAGTGAATTTACTGTGGTTATTAGTTGAAGGTAACTTCAACCATGTATGGTCAATTAATGAAGGTAACAATTAAACTTGCAGATAATGTAAAACATTTTAACTCATCTTATATTTATTATGTATTAGGGTATGGTGATGATGTGTTGCCCAATAAAAACTCAGAAAAATTTAAAACCATCAATAAACCYTGCGATAAGAAAGCCGATTTGTTTATGCTACAACATGAACACCTTAGTGCTGAAGGATTTGATGCTCCACCACCAGCTGGATCAACGATAAGGTTAGGTTCAAAAACTGCAATGTTTGTATTATATCATAATGTATAGTAATATTAAAAGTTAAAACCAAACTGATTATGTGCTGTGACAATTCAGTTAAATATAGGAGCAAATAATGGGGGACGAGCCTAATATATAYCTATTATACCTTAAATAAAAATATCCGAACATTTTTTTTAGGCCATTTTTTGTCAAACGTATAGCCCATTCCAACTTACTTCTTGTTGTTGTAAAAAATGCAGAAAGTAGTCAAAGTCATTTAAGTGTTAATCCAGTCAAAGTGGAGTATAAAAACACATCAGGTATAATCACAGATCATAGTTGCAATAAACTGAACCTCAATTCTTTTTATAGACGGAAACTGGGAGGATGTTATAATAGCCATCCAGAGGTAATATTTATTATTAATTAAATCTCAATATTATATWATTTAATTATTTATTCATGATACAAATATTTTTGCAATTCTTTTAACACTTGATTTTATTTTTATAGGAGCCAAACACCAAAGTGTGTTCAAAATGCAATATTATTAAATCAACAGTAATATTT